AATGGCTGCCATCAGCGCTTGTTGAACTGAGGTGATCTCAGATTAGTTGATGAATTCTTAAAAAAAATAAAATAAAAAGTCTGTTTTTGAAGACAGTTTGCTACAGTTCATCTTTTGAGGTTAATCTTAATGACCTGAATGCTTAACATGTATGTGTTAAACTAATTATCAGTTCCTTAAAACTGAAGAAAACATCTTCAAAAACCTTTAATTACATTTAATTTAGGAGACAAATTCAAAGTTATTTATTTATTTTACGTTTATTGATCCTTTTGGGAAATATTCACCAAAAATGTGCCTGTAAAAAGAGCATTGTAATTTTATTTAAAGAACATGGATCAAGAAACTTTGTATACTTGCACTCACATTTATGGTTATTCTCCAGCTGAGAATCACATTAAACACAATTTAAAGGAGTGATTTCTTGTTATTTAATAAGTTAATAATAAAAAAAAAAGCTTCAGTCATTGTGACCTGACGTCTTCCTGAGACCCTTCAGGCTGATCTTTAAGTCGTCAACAGCACGAGCGTGTGTAGACACATCCAGATGCTTCAGAGATGCTGAAGCTTTGAACAACATCGCGTTGCATCTCGTTGCAAAGCCAATAAAGTTTATTCTGAACCAATCCAGTAAGCACCAAACAGAATTTTCAAATTTATTTATTCGAGCTGAAACTATTTGAGCATCTAAGGCATCTTTTCACCTTGTTTTTAAACTAGTTAAAGGTTATTTTAACTGTTCAGGTATTGAAAACAGTTCGCTCAGGTGTTGAAAAATGGCAACAAGTAAGTACGTCTTGATAATCCCAATCTTACCTTTTCCTGCAGCTTCTGTTGGTAAAACGAAATAAAATGTGATAATTTAATAATGTTTTCTAATAATAGGTTGAAAAAAGCTTCACTTTTGTACCAACGAAGCATCTTTTCCTGAAGAGGATGGCCATTTTCTAGAAGTCCTTTTAGATATTTCTGTATGTTTTGAGACAGTACACTTTATTGTCAGTCTTTATGGCAGTTTTAGTAAATGTGTTTTGGTTTGTGCGAGTGTGATTATGAGAAGTGGTCTGTCTGTTTGTGTGCGAGCGACAGCGTGGCTCTCAGCTGGTCAGGACCGGGGGGGTTGGAGGAAAGGAATGCTGCTTCTACATGGAGCCTGTAATTTGCTGTCATCAAATCAGAGCAAAAACAACAACACTGAAGAGCTGAGACAGATGTGTGTGTGTGAGAGTGTTTTGAGGGAAGTCTTGGGTGAGAAGTGACGCCGTGAGGGGGGGAGGAAAAAAAAGACGTGGGATGAAAACATGAAGAAATTTATGAGGAGAGGAGGATGAGACTTATTGTGGTCGTGGTGATAATTATGGCCAAGTAATTACCTTTGCAACGAGAACCTCCAGATCCTCAAACATACATCTCAGCGTTCATGTAGCTCGATAGTTCACAATGAAATGCAGTTATCCGTCTCACTTGCGTTGTTAGGAAACTAAATATTTTTTTCTAGGGATGCACAATATTAGATTTTTATCCGATATGCCGATATGTTAAAACTTATTTGGCAGATAACCAATACAGATATTTTTAATATACTTTCCTTTGTCAGAACATAGCTCTCTTATTTAGGCTTATTTGCTACAAAAAATGTGCAACAGCTGTAAGAGCTGGTGACATATATTCAGTAAGAGCCATATGATATGCATAGTACTTTAACTTATATTAAATGAAAAGTGTTAAATGTTATTTATTAGCATTAGTCACCTGTGATGCTGTCTCACCTGTTGAGGCTTGTTCCAGGTTCCTATAGCTGCAGTGTGGGATCCTCTGCACTCCTGTGCATGAAGGACAGCTTTTTTAAGTTCAAAGTATTTGTCTATTGTGCCTTAAGACTAATCATGCTAACGAGGCTAACATGACGTCCAAATGTCTGTGGTAAAACTCACCCAAGTGCTATCGACTATTAGCTTCTCAATGACGTGGGAAAAACTCTCCCACTGGTACATTTTCATCTTTAAATCACTTCTTGGTCTGCTGCCTTCATACATCTCCTCCTACATGTCTCTGCATGAGTGCAGTTACAGCGTGCGCTCTCAGGACATTATTACCTGCAGTGTTCCCTCAGTGAGGTCTGAACTAGGCAAAAGGACCTTCACCTACTCCGCTCCTGTTTCCTGGAATATCTTACAAAAAGATCTGAAGCTCTCGACCTTGACCTCTCTAAGTGGCTTTAAGAACCTGTTGGACTCCTGGCAGAGACCAATGCAGACATGTTCCTGTTTTTAGTTTTCTACATTCGCCTTATAATCTAGCTGGTTTTTTTTGTTACTTTTCTTTTTTTTAGCCATCCTATTTGTTTTAAAAAAAAATCTGTATGCCTTTTTATAACTGTATTCTTTGTTGAAATCAGGTCCCTCTTGTAAATGAGTCCTCGAGGCTCAATGGGAGTTACCTGTCTAAATAAAGTTTGAGTGAATGGATGAAAAAATGATGGCTTGTAACTCGGGTAAGGCTACGTCGGAAAAATATCTGACTGGGGATGATGTAGCGAGGCTCAACGTGGTCAAAAATCTTCGGAATTCGACATCCTCAATGGAAAAAAACAAACTTGCACACCGCCGACATTTTGACTTCTTCCTCTCCGCCGTGATCAGATCAGGTAGGCGTGACGCCATCACGTGCTGCCGCTGCAGGCATCCTCGTCACTTGGTTGTCATACAAAACCAGCGTCGTTTATATCGGTGAGTTATTTTGGTGGAATGTCCGATATTTAACTTTAACGCTAATATTAGTCAATACCGATAACATGCCGATAATATCGTGCATCGCTACTTTTTTCGTTGAGACACAAAGCGACAAAAAAATAAAAATCTTGAAAGACATTCAAGATGTTTGATACCATTTTAGCAAAATGAAATAATTACACCATCATTCATCCTCCCTGAACCGATATAGGACCAATAATCCATAAAAAGCTCATTTTGCAGCAGTAACAATGTTTATACCACCTCTGTTCTGACAGCACTCACTTGGATCCTGCTGTCTGCAAACAAAAGTAGGAAAACTGTGAATAAAAAAATAAAAAATCACTGAAGCTTCGCTTGAATTTTGACAAGTACATTGATGCAGTTGAAGCAGATTTAATCAAATGACGGTCTCAGTTTCTCAAAGAGAACGTTCCAGAAACGATGTTCTGCTCTGAAACGACATGTCATCAAAACTTTGTGCTTTTAGAGAAGCGTGGAACTTGTTTATAAACTATGCAAACTTAGTCTTTGATTCTGAAGAAAACCAAAGAAAAACTACTCGTCTCTGGTTTGACTGAAGCCACAGCCTTAAAGTTTTGTACAGCTTGACCCTGATTGGTTCGAGTCCTGTCATCATACTTGCTGTGGGTGGACCGACTGACTGAACCCTGAGGAGAAACAGAGCCCTGCTTGATAAGAAGACACAAAGCAGACACTCTGCTATCAGATCAAGAACAAAAAGTATTTTTTGTGAGAATATCCCATATTCTTAGGAACAAGTTGGTTTTAATTGCTCATGGTTCAGATTCAGGTTTTAGTTTTCCAGCCTGAATGATTGTGGGATTTTCTTTGACAGTAAAAGTGTGAAAGCTGTAGACTGAGCTGACAGGTGATGTACGTGTTTACAGGTTATCAGTAGTCAGCGAGCTACAAGGTCGACTGGCGTGTTTCAACAGCACGTGTTAGGAATGTGCTCCAGGCTGCTGGGAAACACATGTATGTTTGAAACAAAATAATTCACGGCCTGTATCAGAGGTTTAGTGTCTGAGTACGAGTTGGTGTATCTGATCCTTATGTGTTTACACAATGTGAGTGAATTTTTTCACCCCACCAAAAACTGTCAAGTTAAAAACCTCCAGAAAAGCTTTTATGTATCAAATAGAAACCTGTGCATTTTAAGGATTTTTTTCAAATTTGTCAACCTAAAAGGAGAACCTCAGTTTTGTGAGAGCTTTTTTTTTTTTTTTTTTTTAACATATAAATCTGATAGACACTAATGTGTCTTTGTTTCACAGAACTGTGTGAACAGGAAGGAGCTCCAGCTGCTTGAATCCCGAAGTGGCTGAAGGAGGTAAAGATCTTATTAACGTGCAGTTTTAAGTAGGGATGCACAATATTATCGGTATGGTATCGCCATCGGCCAATATTAGTGATGAAGTTAAATATCGGACATTATATATATATATA